CGGGCAGCGAAGTCTTCGAACGAAAGTTGAAGACTCCCGACATCCGCATATGCCTCGGAAGAAAGGGCGGTCGTGGCCACAACCGCTTCCGATGGCGTCGAGGGAGGTGTCGAGTATCCCTCGGCGGCGCCTACTTTCCTTGACGGGGTTTCCCCTTGGTGGGGCAATGTGCAGCATCGTGGATGGTGCTGTTGCACCAAAGGCAATACCGATACTTGAGTCGCGTGCGATAAGAGTTAGCCGAGAGTCCGTATTGTACCCAAGGTTCGTCGGCGGCTGATCCGGTGCTCGGTGTTGAGGTGGATTGAGTCTTCGTCTTGTCGCGGCCGTGGTTGTTGCGCGGCCGGCCACCATCCCGGGCAGCTGCCAACACTTCACCCTCGTTTGGTGTTGCAGCCTCGGAAGAAATAATGCAAGCCACCTTTGGCTTGAGTTGGGTGCCGCTCGTCGTCGCGGAAGATCGGCCTGCGTTGCGGGCTTCGATATTTGTCAGAATGATCCRWGACGCTGTGCTAAAAAGCTTGTCGGATGTGTCGAGTGTCTCTGCAATCTGCGTAAGCGCGTTTTGCAGAGCCGGACACGAGCGCATGATAAACAAATGCTTGATGGCGCGGAATGCGAGCGGCARGTTAGGTGTGGAGGCGAGTTTTTGAAACTCGGTGATCCAGTCCTGACTGAGCAGCGTGTTTTGATGGAGCTTGTTGAGCTTGTCCATCGCTTGCAGGTCGGGCGGCTCCACTTGGAATTGCTTGTGCCAGGCGTCAGTCAACTCCTGCCAAGTGAGCTTGGTGTGTAGTTCCGACACTGCTACGCCGTGGCTGGTCAAGATGTTGTCCAGCCATGCTTGACACGCACCACCAGATCGGTGGTACAAGCACGGATGTCGATCGTTGTTCGGGACATGGTGCATGTCGAGCCGGAGAGTAAACTGGCGCCACCACGGGATCGGTTCCGTCTTGGACTGATCGCAGAAGACTGGAATGTCATCTAGCTTGGGTGGGCACCTGGAGGATGCGGCGGCGGGCATCACGGTGGCGGCCGCCTGGACCTGCGTCTCCAACTGCAAGTTCGTTGCTTGCTGCGACATCCTGAAGTCCTGATGCACACGCTTGATGTTGCCGACGTCGTCCTCCAAGACTTGAACACGGGTCGCAAGGTTTGCAGGCCCTGCGGCTGCTACGGCTGCTGGCTGTTTTTCCAACGCCCGCAGCCGTGCGAGCATCTGGTCCACTGTCTGCTGCAGGTGGAGGATTTCCTCCTGCTRCAGAGCGCAGGTGGCCACGAGGTCGTGGGAGACCTGTGCAAGGGCTGACAGTCCTTTCTCAGTCTCCGGGGCCTCGTCTGTAGATGCCATTTCCACCCAACGTGTGGCCTCATCGCCGATCACGGTCTCCCGTGTGAACAGTCGTTCCCGCTGGCGTGACCGGTGTTCAGCTGCCGCCTGCAGGTCTGCTTCCTCTTGACGAAGTCGGTCCTGTTTCTCCTTCTGTCGCTTGGCCTCCTCCTCTTGTTCAAGCTGCCGACGTTCCTTGGCCGCGGCGGCAGCCCTATCGTTGGCCTCTTGAATGAATGCCGCCAGGCGTTCCTCATAGCTCAGGAGGGATTCCCCCGCCTTCCGSTCCATGGCCTTGGTCTGTGATCGAGTGAGCAGTGTCATGCACTGCCGTGCCCGAAGTCTGAAGAGTCACTCGAGGGCCAATCTGACGGACTGGCCCAGTGCCCGGACTGGAGGGGGAGGAACAGGTAGGGGGCAGACAGGTGGGAAGGGTCGGAGAACTCCCAATTGAACAGTTCCCTAATCAAGCAAGGAATAATAATTAAGAAAGAATTTAAATAAATCAAAATTCGAAAAGAACAGACTGTCCAATACCACTGAGTGCCGAAAGGGATGCAGAACGCAATAGTAACCCTTCAGTGCTCAAACTGGCAGAAACAGAAGAGAAGTATCTTTACAGCTCAGAGTAGGAATAGGTTGCAAAAGAAAAAAAAAAAATGCCCTTTTTTTTTTTTTTTTTTTAAAAAAAAAAAACGGAATTTGCAAACCTACGAAGTGAAAGTGTAGAGGGACATTATCGGGAAAAAAAAATCCAATTTGTCAACTGCAGACATTTAACAATTAAATAAGATAATAAAATGAATTTCTTGGAGAAAGAATTCTCAGAACGAATTTCCTCGAA